ATATTAATTATTGAATCTGGGGAAGGCTACAGGAAGGAATGAGGGTGTCTGTGATCAAAATATACTACATGAATGCATGAAAAGTCTCAGAGAACAACAGAGTCCTCTGTGAACATCATGGCCAGCACAGAAACCATCTTCTGGGGAGGGGCCGCGGCGGGGTGGGGGGGTTGGATAGGGGAACGGAATAAGGTAGTTCAGTTCAAATAAGGTATTGGTTCAAAATTAGAAAGTCTGACTCCAAGTAGTTTGTTTTAGGAATATTTAAGCAGAGCAGAATTTGCTGAAAGATTTCCTGGTGGTAATTAATTCAATATCCTGTACACAACAGAGCTTAAGGCATGACTACATTGAAACTCTTTTTTTTTTTTTTTTTTTTTTTGGTTTTTTGAGACAGGGTTTCTCTGTATTGTTTTGGAGCCTGTCCTGGCACTCGCTCGGTAGGGAATATTGAAGTGGCTAATAAACCTATGCAGACATACTCAACATAAATGGTCAGCAGATAAATGATATCACAATGAAAAAGGCTGACAACATCAAGGCCTGATAACACTGTGGAGAGATTAGCATTCGCTCACACATGCAGTGTGTGCTTAAATATGTTCAGCCATGTTGTTTCTCAGTAAGCCCTACCGTAACTATCACAGACTGCCTATGATCTAGCATTTGTACTCCAAACACTAGTCAAAGAAAATGAATATACCCATAGTATGATCATGGCTGTGTGATCTACAGTAGCCAAAAGAATGAAACAACCTAAAAGGCCATCAGCACTAATGTGACTAAATACAAATAATTTACGGTACATTGCTACCACAGACTATATTATGGTAAGGAAAAAGAACCAACTATGGGTATTCAGAACATCAATTGTTCAAGTTCTGTGAGATTCAAGAACAGGTAAGACTTGTTCATGAGGTTGAGTCTACAACAACTCTAGATATTAGGTAAAGTATGTGCTGGTAATAATCTTCTTGACTAATAGGGTGCTCTAGATGGTGGCTACTTCACACATGCACACAGGAACACACACACACACATGCATACACATATACATAATTTATTCAGTTAAACTATACAAGAAACATCCTCAGACTTAACTGTTGATTATACATTATATCTTGATACATAAACTACATATAAAATGGAAAAGACTATCTCAAATGTCCATTGCTTATTTACTTGTTCTCTTTAAGCTCAGTATACAACACTGACAGATATGGATGAAGTTCAGGGGTAAAAATTTCTGAAGTATTTATTTTGCTCAACCAGTAAATAATACAAGTTCTTTTGAATCAATTAACATTGTAAGTAAAAAAGTTCACTGATCTAATCTTCTAATATTGGAGAATAGAGCAAACAAGTTAGTCACTTTAACATCTTCTAAGTGCCCATTATTCAGAATTTGTTATAGGAAAATTGCATCTTGTAAGATGTGCTCAATTTTTTATTCTCCTTTTAGAGATAGATATATGGAGTGATTTTTAAAATATTCCATGAAGTGGGGCTGGAGAGATGTCTCAGAAGCCCAGGTTTGGTTCCAAGAACACACACTGGATGGCTCACAACCACCTGTAGCTTCAGCTCCAGATTTTATAGCCTCTTCTGATCTACAGAGACACATGCACTAATGTGCACAAATGAACACACCCACCCACCCACATATTCATAATCCATACACACACATCCTCATAACACATCCGTACCATACAAAATATTAATAGTAAGATAAATCCTTCAACAATTTCTACAATTTCTAGGAAGAAGGAAATTACTTTTGAGTCTCATATCTTAAAGGAATATGTCTTCAAAAGAGTGATTTTAAGACTCCTTGGAAAGAAGGAGCTAATTCATGACTTAAGTCTCCAATTTTATACAGGGTAATAGCCCTGTGTTTAAATATTTTCTCTCTTTTACTTCCTTATTCTTGTTTTGGTCCTTGAGTGGTATTCTTGTTACTGGCTACATTAATACGCTATAAATACAATCCCTTTAAACAACATTTTCTCCAGAAGTCAGACACATCCTTTGATTCTGGGTCAAACACGATCTTTGATATGCAGTTATACCATCTAAATGCCCGCTGTATTCAATCTCAGACACCACACATGCAATGTTGTAAGGTGTCAACAAAGTCTAAAACACAGGTACCCACTACTAGTAATAATCTAAAAAAAAAAATCATGCTACATTCATTTCTTTATGCTTCTTAAAGAACTGTGGGGAATTCTCTCCAAGCCAACCAGTCACAGTTACAAATAATTCTTGTTGCAAAATTAGAATACACACCCACTATGTACATACATATTTACACTACTGTTTTACTTCATCTAAAACACTCTAATTACTCTAGGTTAAAAATTGGAGCAATCTAATATTACTAAGAATGTACAAGAGTCATCAAAGATGGTCTCTATGGAAAACACATGACAAACAGGTGTGCATACCAATGAAAAAGTTGGCCTTGGAGGATGACTGCCCATATTGCTGCTCAATGTACTTTGGTTTATATGTCACCATGCCAAACAGAGAATTGAACTGAACAGTGCTTGCACACAGGTATAGGATATATACTGGATTTCTAAGAAGAGTCTTCAGTGATGGAAGAAAATCTGTAAGACAAAAGCAATACAGAGTCCTAAGACAGCGTCTCAGGTGGCAGACATTGCAACCTTCAGGGCTGCAGTATGCCCAGGTTTGAATCCAGGAACACACACTCTCCTACAGGAATATTATACAGGACCCATAATTGAGACAGGGACAGATCCCACCAGCTGATGATTCATGGACAAAGGAGCAGAGCGTTTCTCCTCATCCTCCCTCTAGGATCCCTAGGCTAGACATCAAGAACTACCACCGCAAGTCTCTTTCTCCCAAGGTAAGTCACAACTGTCTTTAGTGAGTGCACCTTGATGACAAAAGGACCTTTCTTCTACTCTCTTCATTCTGTGATTCAGGCAATTAATTTCAACAAGGTGAAGAATGTCTATAAACATAAATACAGGATTGCTTGAAAAGAAAGAGATGAGGACAATGTCTCAGCCACTAACTTCCCTGAGGAGAACTCCTGAGAACATGCCTGGCCTTTTCCTGCCTCCCACTTACACCCTTGCTGAGACACACATTTCTATAGATGGTTCGGTCAGGTGGGTCTTATGTGTAGAAGGCTCTCAGACATGGAGTCATAGCCTCTTCTTTTCTATCCACCCAGACTTACACAGACCATCTACTATGGAGAGGAACAGTGATGTGTGAGAGGGTGGAGCCATCCAAAAGAAAAATATGCAGGACTCTGGCTCATCTACCTGCATAACTTTTTCAAAAGGAAAGACTTCCCCTCTCCATTTCTGCTTCTGTAGTGTCTTATCTTTTCTTTCACACAGGGGAGCCAAGTGCTGTTATTCATACATTTCCTCAAGTCCCACTAGAAGATGGTCAGTTGCCCATTACCAAAGAGAATCTGACTTACTTCTTGCCATTTCCACCATTTTCATTTCCTCTCCAGGGGCCATTTGGTAACTGATAGGGTCATCTATGATGAACTTGGACTTCTCAGATGAGGATCCAGGGTCCTCTCTACCTTGAGATCTTGGTAGGGTCTTGGGTAAGCACCAGAAAGGCACAGCTGCAAGGAGACTTAGGAGTCCTGCTATTAGGTAACCAAGCCACCAGGCCCCCACCCACTGGGGATCCTTTGGGGTGATGGTGATGTGGTCTGGAAGACAGAAGTTAAGTAGCAGGTTTTTCAATGTTAGGGTTTTGAAATGAGTTACCACAGAAAACAAGTTCTAGCAACAGTTCTATCATTCACAAACTCATAAGAACCTACCCAACATGGTCAGGGAGATGTCTCAGAGCATGAAGGCCCAAGTTCAGATTTCCCCAGAACATACATGCATACATACATACATATACATATGTGTACATAAGCATATACATATACATACATACATACATACATACATACATACATACATACATACATGCATGCATGCCAGGTGGGCCTGGATGCTAGCCTTTATTCCAGCCTCCAACGGTAGAGACAGGAGAGTCACAGAGCAGGCTAGACAGCCAATTACCTATATTGGTGATCTCTGGGTTTGATTGAAAGACCCACCTCAAAGAATAAAGGTAGGAGACAAATTCAAGATGATGTCCAGTATCAGCTAAGGCACATGCTCACACCCATGTATGCCCAGACATAAGGGAACATGCACAACACACACATGAAAATAGAAAGCATGGAATAGTTTATCCAGCAAAGGTGTTTCTGGTAGACTTTAGTTTCTGTTTGAATCATGGGTTAAAAAAGAGTCTAGAGGCTGGAGTGGTTAAGAACACTAGGTGGTCTTTCAGAGGTCCTGAGCTCAATTCCCAGAAACCACATGGTGGCTCACAACCACCTGTAATGAAATCTGCTGCTCTCTTCTGACCTGCAGGGTTACATGCGGACAGAACACTGTATACATAATAAATAAATCTTTTTTTTAAGTCAGAGTCTAAGGCTGTAAGAGGCTTGTGGCTATATTCTGTGCTCTGAGGTTGTGCTCGATTTCCCATAGGGCTGCCAGTCCCCAAATTATTGCCCACTGGAAAAACAGGACAGGGAGACAGGCTAAGACTAGAAGAGAGGGAAGTGTGGTCATTAGAGACTTCGCTCCTATGTGTTTGCTTTATCTGAGACCATCGAGAGCCAGCAGGAGCCACAGTTTTGAGCCTGAACTGTGCTATGTGCATTTGAACTGGCAGCTGCAGAAGATCTGCCTTAATAACAGACCACAAGCCACCCTGTTCTAACCACTACCTGGCTATCCTTCTGCACCCATTAACGCCTGCATTGTCAGCATCGATGTGGATTCCATGGGTTACTTTTACTTTATGAAAGAATGCCACCTTGACATTGTATTAAAAGCAAAATTTGGGGGGTGGGGAGATTGCTCGGTGGTTAAGAACACTTGGTGATTCTGCAGAGGACTAGGGTTGTATTCCCGGCACCCACGTGGTAGCTCTTAACTGTCTGTAACTCTTGTTTCAGGGGTTCTGACACACTCTCTGTCTCCCTCCAGCAATAGGCACGCACTTAGTGTACATGTATATATTATATGCATGTAAATGTTTATACACATACAGTCTTTTTAAAAAAATTAAAAACACAAAAACTAAATTTGGTATTTTTCTCAGTCCCATTAAAAATTATAGTAATTAAAATCAATGAATAAATAAAAAATAGACTCAGGCTGGCAAAGGCACTTGTCCTAAGCCCGAGCACTTGAGTTCCATCCCTGGAAAGGTGAGAACTGATTTGCACAAGTTGTCCACTGATCTTCACAAGTCATCATGACATATGCACACGCAGAGACATGTAAGAAAATTAATTGATTAATTTATGCATTTATTAATAAACCTACTTACCTAGATTCACAAAGCCAATGTCAACATACAGTTTGGCACATAGTGAACCCAAGAGGAAGCCAAAAATGGGCCCGATAATTGCCACTGTCTGAACACATCCTGTACAAAACAAAACAAAACATATTAGAAAGGGAGGGGGGACAAGAGAAAAATAAGAATAGCTGTCATTTGGCTTTGCCTTGGGAAATGAATAAAATGCTAAGTGGGAAATATAAATGAGATGCCGTTGACAGCTGCAAAATAAATACTTGTTTCAGCACCTCATCCGTGGGTGTGCCACTGGCTAGGGTTTCAATGCACCAACTCAGGAAATAAGCCGTTCCCTATTTGAGGAGAAAGCCATTTCTTCTAACACATGAACCAGCTCATGGAAATAACACCAAGACTCTGACAAATTTAAATTCCAAACATGAAGCAAGCTTTAGTTCTGATAGCTGTAGTTGTCCACAGTTTAGGAATCCTAGTCCTTTACAGGTGGAGGAAGGACCTAGGGACTACAAGGCAAAAAAAACCAAAAAACAAAAAACAAAAAACAAGAAAAAACAACCAAAACAAAGCAAACAAACAAAAAAAAACAACCAAAGAAAACAGAGCTGTACTAATTTGGTAATCTTGCAAAAAAAAAAAAAAAGATTATAGTCAGTTAAGCCTAAGTTCTCTTTTGACATTGACATTAAAATGGATTTTCTGACCTGGGTGATTAAGAGTGCTCCCTTATTCATGAGGAGCTTGTGAGGAATCACTGTGGAGAGACTGTTGTCTGCAGAAGCAACTAGTAAAGGAGGCAGATTTTGGAGCAAGTTGAGATCCTCTAGAGAGCTCACCACAGGTCGGGGGAGCCTGAGGGATGATGGGAACAGGTTACCCAAAGGACGGTGTCACTAGTAAGCAGAAAGGCTGTCTGTCCTGCTTAATGTTGTCTCCCACATGGCATTCATTTCCCTACAGAAGTCAAACATGCATGTCCCTGGGAGATGGCATGAACTGGAGGATGAAGAGCTGAGTGTAAGACCATGTGTAGCCTCTGAGCACCTCCAGAGAAAGGGAAAGCCTAGCCAGTCCCCGAGACCATCGCTTAGTGCAACCCAGATTGTCCTTTAGCACCCGAGTTATGCTCTGGTTTTCCAATGAAGCAAAACCCTGATCTTAATTTAAGTCTCTATTGGTATATGCAGGATATGGGATTTCTGTTTGTGTGCCCAGAAATACAGTGATCCTTGGTATAGCCTCATTCTTTAATCTTGTCATTTGTCCTTCAAGGCTATGCATTCAAAAGATCAGAATTCCAAGAAGTCAAAACTGATGTGTAAAACACAGAAGACACAGTAATCATTCTTGTAGCTCTAATTTCTAGCTGAACCCCCGGGGTGTAAGAGACACCCATTAAACAGTGCACAGGTGCATCTGGCCTTAAGAGTTCACTTCTACTACACAATTTTATGTGGAAGAGTTTCCAGTGCATTGCCCACTCTTTTGTAGTAGACACGGGTGAGTGCTGCTGTCGTCTGGGACCTGATCTACAGATGGGGTAGCCTTGAGCCTTGTTCCTTCTATTTCTTTTCAGTCATTTATACCTGCTCTCAAGGCTCAAGAATTCCTTCATATCTCAAATAGGAAAAAAAGATCCTTAAATTAATCAGGGCTTATATAATTCAAGGCAGTTTCTAAAATTGCAGAAACAAAACACACACATGTATAAACCCTCACACAGAAGGCACTCTCTCTCTCTCTCTCTCTCTCTCTCTCTCTCTCTCTCTCTCTCTCTCTGCACACACAACATTAAAAATAAATCTCTGAACTCTGAAAGTCCCTAGTGTCTTCACAAGGTCCCATGCCATTACAGTTGAGGTCATTACAGCTGTTTCCTTCTAGTCTGGTGTTCTTTCCCTTATGCAACAGACACTGATTAATGAAGTACCTTCACTGTTCAAATCCTCTGTGTAGTTCAGACATGTGTTAACTGAATGAAGGCATGGAGACTGAGCCCTAAAACCTTCCATGCTAAATTTGGAATAGGTGGAAAGGGGGCAGACAGGCACCCTACTTCCCACACAGGGCATTACCAATGTAGAAGGCAGCATTGTCTTCACTGGCAAAATCATCCAGATAGGCGATGCCAAGGGGTTGGATGGGAGTTTCCCCTAATCCTCGCAGAAGATTTCCCAGGAAGACATAAACCCACATGGAGGAGCTGGCATCCCCTTCACATTCTGGAAAGAAAGGCAAAGAAGTAGATCTTGGTCACTATTGGTGTTAGATCTTTATTCTATACTTCTACATTCAGTTTTCAAATTGAGTACCAGAGCAGAATTAAAATCTGCCACAGTGCTAATCTCATAAGAATTTGGATGAGGCTGAGTGTGTGTGTGTGTGTGTGTGTGTGTGTGTGTGTGTGTGTGTGTGTGTGTGTGTGTGTTGGTGTGTGTGTGTGTGTGTGATCTGCTTCTCTTTCACAGATACATTCAGAGATTCTCATTTTTTCACTGTCCTTTAACTTATTTTCTCTCTTCTTTCCATTTAGTACCGACACAAAGATATTTGTCTTTCTACACAATGGCATCTTTCAACATGTTATCTGAGGCAAAACACGTCACGAACAAAGGCATAGCCACATCCACTTGAACAAAAAATGCGTATTTTTCAACCACAAGTATTTCTCATTGTTGACCAAGTTCTACCTGCAACTCAAATGCTGATGTGTTTGGCAATTGCAACACTGCATTGCCTATGGTTATACCTGGTGATGAGCAACTATTTCTAGAATTCTGGAAACAAGTCACACAAAAGTTATATGTCTTATATTCTTTAGCAGATCACATCTTCCAACAAACTGAACAGGTTTTTGACAATATTTTCAGAGTTGGATCTAAAGCTGACTATTTAAGGGTACATTAATAAATGTCATTGCCTGATCTGACTATATGAGGCAGGGCAGTTATGTCAGTCACATAAATGAAAGACTGCTTCACAGAGATCTGGCACTCTGTTAAGGAGACGTTGTTAACTGCCTCCAGTAATCACCACATCTAAAAGCCCCCTCCCAAGCACACTCGGGGCTAAGTGGTTCTCAGGCATTTATAACTGGAGTCTTCTCATCAACACTGGGAGGTGGAAGTTATTTTTACTTAGGTGTGAAGGGAATGAAGAGAAAATTAAATGTAACCATGGGGGGGGTGGAAATTACACTTCTTACCTGACACTTCAGATTGAAGTTTCTAGTTGTGAAATTCATTTTATTTTCATCTTACTCAGAACTACTGGAAGATATTCCTAGTCACCAGCAAGTCATTTGTGGTCTTTTCCATAATATCAGATGACTGGGATATTTTAATCTAGGAGCTGTTTATGCGTGTGAGAGTGCTTGCAATGCAAACTTGTGAGCAGAAGGTGTGTGTGCATGCGTGTGTTTGTGTGTGTGTGTGTGTGTGTGTGTGTGTGTGTGTGTGTGTGTATGTGTGCGTGCGCATGCGCGCGTACGTGCGTGCACGAGTGTGCATGTCTCTGTGTGCAAGCAAAGGTCAGAGCATATTGGTGCCTTTCTCCATTATTCTTGCCTTATTGTCTCAAGACAGAACCTCTCTCTGAACCTAAAATTCACTGTTTCAGCTGGGCTGGCTGGCTAGTGAATTTTAGGAACCCACCTACCTGTGTCCTCAAGTTTTGGATCCATAGGCATGTGCAGACATGCCTGGATTTTTAAGTAGGTGCTAAGGATTTGAACTCAGGTTCTCATGTTTGTAAAGCAACCACCCTTTCCCATTGAGCCATTTCCCCAGCACAATTGTAGAAATTTCTTTACACTTTAATATTTCAAGTACTAATGCTTTTCAGAGGAAAAATAAAAGTAATGAACTAAAGCATATAAAAAGCTAAAATACTATTCACTCACACAAGTCAATTTTTAAAAATCATCTTACCATCATTTATTTTGTTTTGTGATTTTCCCATGACTGAGCTTGGCGACAGACTGCTGAGCTCTAGGTGGCATGGAGAGACATTGGGAGTAAGGTTGGAGGAGGGAGAATACTTCTCATATTTCTCATATCTGTACCTGCACATAAAGAAAATGTTTACTCTGACAGGATAACCACTCATGAGGGTGTCAGGTTGGGTTTGCAGTTTCCTTCAAATCGGACTCGCTAAACCAATCTAGCATTGAGCAGTAGCTGGTTTCATGGCTGGCCGGAAGATGCTGCCTGCCTTTGTGTCATTCTTGGGCCATCCATGATCCAGTGACAGAAAATAAAAGCAAGAATCATTTTAAGACTTGTTTAAATAGAAGTGAGTGACTACCCATCACCTATTCCCTTAGAACCAGAGGAATCCACCTGCATCCGCTGAGGACCAAGCAAGGCTGTCTCTAAGTCAGAGAACGATCAACACTGTTACAGCCTGGGGCATTAGCACAGCAGAATCACAGACAGCAGAACACTCACAGGTCAGTTTAGAGGATGTAGAAAATGAAACATGGCTCTAGAGACATTTGCCCAGAAGGAATTCTGCTTTTTCCCTCCAGGTAATGAATCTAACTATATAAATTAATCCAGCCCCATCCCTCTACCCTCCACACCCAACCCCCACCACTTTTTGATTTCTTTATTAAGTTGATACATGCCCTTGCTGAGTTGCCCTGACCTTGCTATGAATTCATGGTGGTCTACATAGACTGGCTTTGAACTTACTTATGTGACCCTCCTGCTTCAGCCTAAGGAATAGCAGGTATTACAGCCTGTGCCATAGGGCCCAAATAATGGTAGAAAACTTTTTGCTTTTCTTTTTTTCCCCCCATGCTGGGGGCTGAAACCACTTCCCCTTTGTATAGGATAGCACTTTACTGACAAGCCCCAACCCCAGGCACGGATGCTCTTAAGTTAAGGGTTTTAGTTCTGACTACATTTCAAATTCTGCAGAATGCAGGTCTTCACTTTAGCATATGAAATTTTGTATCCACTTCCGGAGGTCTTGTCCCAAGCTTTTCATCAAAAGTGTCAGCTTTTGAAGCAGTGGTCACAGTCACAGCAAACCATTCAAAACTCCACATCTGGGTCCAGGGAGACACCTCAGTCAGTAAAAGGCCTGCTGTGCATGCATGAGGCTCTGAGTTCAGATCTCCAGCACCCACTTAAATGCCAGGTGCAGGGCAGACACATGGAACTCCAGCACTGGGGAGGCAGGACATGACCAGAGCTCACTGGTCAGGTGATCTGCAAGAGTCTGCTCATCTTTCCACAGTTCTTCCCTCAAGAGTCTTCACTAGGCTGTTGTCTCTGTCGTCCGTATGTGTGCGTGTGCATGTCCCTGTGAGTGTGTGAATGTGTGTATGCTAGTATGCACACCCGTGCTCACAGGGAGGCCAGAAGAAGGTGCTGGGTGCCTCTCAGCTGGAAGGACAGGTATTTATGCAACTTGTAGCTTGTACACTAGCGCTCTTAAAGCCTTGGCCAAATTCTCCAGCCCCATTCTCTACAGCTCATATCCCTATTCAACACAGCACGGCACTCTGTATGTGTATGTTGTTTTCTCTTCCTCCTAAGATACATGGGATCAGGGATTCTTTTCATTCCCTTATCCCCAGTGTCTAAAACAATGATCAGCACAATGCTAGTATAGACGAGTTAGTGGAGGTAAGAGAAATAATGCTGAACTCAGCCAGCCAGAGTGGCCCTTCATAATTACTACTGTGACCGAAGGAAAAAAAATACAACACCAAGGTTATTTATTTGAAGAATACAGAACAAAAAAAAAACTGGTTTTACCAAGCAATGCCTATTTACAAAAAGCCCCTAATCAGTGAACAGTGTTGTAAAAATCTGTAAAGATTGTCCACTGTTGGCACTGGAGACGTGGTTCATGGTGGAGAACACTGGCTGCTCTTGCAGAAGACCTGGGTTCAATTCCCAGCACCCACGTGGCAGTTCACAACCAACTATAAGTCCAGTTCAAAGGGACCCAAAGTCCTCTTCTGGCCTCCGTGGCACCCCATGCACACCGTGTACAGAGATACAGGCAGGCAGAACCCCGACATACATATTTTTAAACAAATGCCTATAATCCCAGAACTCTGGAGGCTGAGGCGGGAAGGCTGTGAATCCAAGTCATCTTGGGCTGTCTAGTAAATTCAGTACCTGACTAGCCGGGACTATCTAGCAGGACATGTGCCTTGGGAAAACAAGACGGAAATTCTGATTTTAGAAGAGGAGGGGGGAAAGATGGCGGCTTCACACTTACTTCTCCATGAAGAACTGCGGCATCGCAATGAGCATTGTGCCAACTCCCATGACCAGGCAGCCCGCTCCGATGATTTTCGGCCTGTGAAGTCTGGAACCAAAGTAGCTAACAAATGTGATGACCAGGAGATTCCCTTTGGGGGCAAGAAGAGGGATTCGTGGTCTAGGAAACAGCCGGCAGCAGAGGTGAACACATGTGCGCACACACTTAACGAAGCTTCGCTCTAAGGGGACCAGAAACCCAGCCTTCCCATCCTATCACATCGTCCCTGTGAGCTAACACGGCTGCTTAAGTTATCTGCAGATTCATGGCCTTAATAACCTCATCCTTTGTCAAAATATTCCAGTTATCATCCCCCCCCACAGCTTTGTTTTGCCCAACCTGGCCATTTGTTCTTTTAAAAGCATTTTATCAGTATATTAAATTTTAGGCAGGGGGCTGGAAGGCGGAGAAAGTGTACTGTTCTTACTGAGGACCAAGTCTGATTCTCAGCACCTACACTGGGTGGCTCACCGCAGCCTATAACTCCAGCTACAGTGGATTAGATGCCCTCATCGGAACTCCAAGGACACCTGCATTCAAATACACACACACACACACACACACACACACACACACACAATTAAAAATTAAAAATGAATCTAAATAATTATACAAGGCTGCCTTTAGTTGATATTTTTAATTTTTCTTAGTGATTTTGCAGTGAATGTTACTAATTGTCTTCATTTACTTGTGCTTTGGAATAAAGCTTCTATTAGTTTTTCAATTGTTTTTCAAATATATATTTTATATTATCCCTACTATTATTATTATATTATCCCTATTATCACGATATTCCCTAAAGAAAAGTTTTACAAAAATGTGACTACACCACACTTTAAATGAAATAAAATATTAAGCTTACATTTATACAAACTATACTTTATTTCACAAGACAGGCACTTAAAAATGAATGAATAATGTTGATTTTAAAGTAAGAATTACATAGTTTTCAAGCAGCTCTAATGAAACTTTTGTGTATATGTAGAGGTCGGATGTCAACCTTGGGTGTCAGCCCTCAGACGCTGTCTGCCAAGTTTCCTAAGATTACAGTCTCCTTTCATCTTCTTTATCACCTTCTTGTCAAGTGCAAAGTTTAAAGTGTTCCCTCACCTTCTGTAGCTGCCTTTTCAATTTATCTATTGTTTCCTCTACTGTGTAAAATTGTTTAGTGTAGTCCCATTTGCTTTCTTTTCATTAACTTGTCTTTACATGTTCAAGTCTCTATTTTGGTCGTTGTCATAGTTTCCAACTGTGAATGAAAACTATAAAGCAGTGATTAAAAAAAAAAGATTAAATCTCCTTTCAAAGGTCCATGGTTTTCTGATTTAGGGCGAGGCTGGTGGTCCAGCAGACTGTAACCTGTCTCCACCCATTCATTTGGCAATAACAAGAAAAGGTCCAATACCATGCCTGGATTTTTGCTGTTGTTAATATGGACTCAGGCATCAAACTCAGGTCTTCATGTTTACATGACACTTTAGTGAAGGAGCTTTCTCCTGGGCTTTATGATTCAACACATTTTGAGGGAAGATTTCTCAGACTCTGTTATATAAAAGGATTCCTAGGAAGTGATTCAAAGGGTGATGTTACAAAACTGTTAAAAATGTAAACTTTTTGGCACACCCCATTTCTGCTGCTTCGGAACGAGGTCCAGTCAAGGAACCTCTACAGCTGCAATGGAAGCTCAACTACAGCAGAGTGGTGCAGACCACACCAGCAATACGCCATGAGAAACCAGGTTGGGCATACATTTTAAGCACCGTTCATGTCTTACCTATCATCATTTGGGAAGTCACATTTGCAGGAACTCCCATCTAGATAAAGAAGCAAACCCTTCACAATTGGGGGCTGATAGGTGGTCTGAGTTTATGCCGTACTTGGTGTTTTCATGCTACAGCAACAGTTTTCCCATCTGCAAGCAATAGTCTGGTTTACTATCATTCGGACATACTGCCAGAGTTAGCCAATTGGAAAATGAGTGGTGAATTTTACAGTCCGAAGGATAATAATAACGTGGGAAACGTAGCTTGAAAATAATGTCTATGTGCTTGACTCTTGGAAGAATTCAGCCCTTTAAAACTTGCATATTAAAAAATTAAGCATCAGAATACCCATTTGACATTTAAACAGTGTAAGACACTATACTGGTTATGTCTTTCTGCTTGTGAAGCTGACTTACATTTTATAGTAATCCTTTTATAGCCCCTTGTACCCTGCACCAAATTCTCACAATAAGGGACTGGGGCTCAAAGGGTATTTCTTCGTTACATTAATGAGTAATGCCATTTTGTTAACTGTTCCATCTCCAGGAGTTTAGGTTTCCTGTATTTTCTATAATAGCAACCTTTTTGAGTTCTCGGGAGAGATACATGGGAAATATATGGTGATTTAAAGCCTAAAATAAAAATGAATTGGAGCATCTGGGAAGAGGGCTAGGGGTAAAGTGCTGGCTGTGTTCAGATCTCAACACCAGCATAAAAGTTGGCATGAGGCTGGCACCGGTGCTCTCAGGAGTGGGCTCAGAGTGGGAGGTGTGGAGATTGGCAGATTCCAAAGGCTTTCTGGCCAGCCAGTCTAACTACAATGGTGAGCACCAGGCTCAGTGAGAGTCTGTCTCAAAAGACAAAGTGGACAGTGATAAAGGAAGACACTGGACGTCTACCTCTGGTTTCCATGCAAACTTGCACAGACAGAGCATCTGTGTACATATATGCATGTACTTGTTTGCACAGATATCACACACACATATGTGCATGTACACACACACACACACACACACACACAAACACACACACTGAATGAGATGTAAAATTTCCTTTATAACTCACAGGACTAACTGATAATAGATAAGATGTCCAGAGAGTCTAGTAAGTGCTTTATCAAACTTGAACATACCCCTCATTTTTTTTTCTTTTTTTGCACACATTCAAAATTTCAAATCTTAGAAAAGAAAGCAAACAACTGAAGTTATCTTATGTACCAGAAACAAAAACTGAAGAAGGGCAGAGTTAGAATCGAAGGGTAAATGTCTTATTAATAAATGGAAGTCAGTGAAGCCTGCCTAGTACAGCTCATCACAGGAGTGAGAACAGGAGCTAAGAAGAAACGTGTTAACTAAACCACACGTTAACAGGTAGAAGAACCTTTTTATGGAGAATAGAAGACATGTAGTGAAGCCCTCAGTATAGCCAGTGTAAGAAAAACTGAGTCTAGCATGGTGGTGCACACCTTGATGTATGTGAAGTCATGGACCAACAGCATTGGTGGTCTCTGACATAAAGAAATGCAGACTTGCTGTAAGATGTCTCAGTAGGCATAGGCACTTGCCACTGAGTTGATGACCTGAGCTCACTCCCCACAGCCATGGTAGAAGGTGTCCTCTGACCTCCCATGTGCACCATGAAACACTTTCGTATGTACAGGCAAACAGACTAAATTAGTAAACCAATAACTGACTAACAAAAACTAAATGTAATCTAAAACAAAAACAAACAGAAGCTTGGGTCCCAGCCCTGCAGGATTAGTGGCTGCACTTTAATAATTCCCAGATGCTAGTAGGGCCATTCGGGTATGATTGGCACTGGTCTGGGAGCTTTGTGAGCAGATTACCAGGAAATGCTCCACCAGCAGAGGCTGATGGCTGTATTAGAGCTCCAGGGGTTGGAACTGTATGGGTTCAGAGGCAAATTGCCTTGGGTCTCCTACGCCCTTCACAGCACTTGTCACTGTCACCGACCCCTGTGTAGGACCTGACACCATTCTGACCATTAGGTCAATCCCTTTGACTGTGTATGAACAGACCTCTAACTTCCACCTGTCCAAAAGCTAATATTCTCATCGGGTGGCCTCTGAGCCCGACAGCAGAGGTTTCCCCTGCTTGGCTGTAACCACCTACCTCATGTTTCCACCAACATGTTGGAAAGCATCTTGGGTTATCGCTGTCTTTGCTCTTAAACAAACCTTCATGAAGCAGATACCACATTAGGACACTGTATTTAAGGCAGCCTAAGTCTTAGGTGTGTGATGGCCTGTGGTGATGTCTTATTTCTACTTTAGCACTAAACCTTGCCTGAAGATCAGAGAGACTAAGGAGGAAGCCACAGCCACACCTTACCTTGCTTACTTCCCAGCTGGAGAGTGGCCTCCTGTCTCCTCCTGCCTTCTCACTTCCTCTCTCAACCCAGCCATATCACTTCCTGTACAGACCTCCAGTCCTCTATATTTAACTAGTGGCTAGCTCCACCCTCTGATCTTCAGGCAAGCTTTATTGTTAGAGTACAAACAAGATAACATCACAATGGCCATGTATTATTTGTCTCCAAAATAAACTATCTCTTATCCCTTTTGAAGTGAGGGTTGTGTTTTTAGCAAAAGCCAGAAATTTTATATGTTTATTGGTCTCACTTTTTTTTTGTGACCTCCAAAGTCACAAATGAAATCAAAATAGCAATTAAAAAAAAAACTTGAAGACTTAAATATTCCTCCTCTCACTCCAGGTAAAATTGACACTAAAGCAGTTAAGAGACTTCCCTGCCATTTTATTTGTCCCAAGTGGCATCAGTGACCACTGAGGGGATGATTTTTATTTACTTTGGAAAAGCATTAAATGCCTGGCATCTCTATTAATCCAGGAAGCAGACTAACTGGAACCACACTCTTTCCAACACTTTCAAATCAGTTATTGAAGTCACTCTTTGAAAAGGGAGTCTAAACAATTGCCAAACCAAGGACACCTGAATGTAGAGTTTTTACAGTCTGCTCTACTCTTGTGTTCCTGCTAATAGAATCCCTTTCCCTCCTTCACAGCTACTGTATAGAAAAGTACAGTGTCCCCCTTTTAACTATTTGGCTACATTTTAGCAGAGCTCCATTCATGTTCCCACAATCTCACTCCTCTGAGAGGTGCCTTCCACATATGACAACCCCAAACACCAATCAGCACCCCCCTTTCTCTAAGTAAAGTCTCCCCTGGGATGTTTAACTGGCTCATCTAAGGCATCCAGTCAGGGACAGCGAGGCCAGGGAAATTGTTATCAGTTCCCTGGTCTGTAAAAGAATGGGTTTCCTTCACCTAGCACAAGGTCCTGGCAGGTTGGATCTCAGCAGACAACGAAGGACAGCACTCAGCAGGTTTCAGAGAAAGACCTGGGGGTTAAGGGAAAGTCTGTCTTTTGTAATACCTACCGATTTCAAAGCTACCATCAATTATTCCCACCAGAGAGGAAGGGATATCGAACCTTCTCTCTATCTGAGTGATGGTGCTCTTCAGATAGCCTTCTGCCAGTGCTTTGGCAAAGTAAACAAAAGACAAGGCACCCAAGAACACCTGGAAAACACAAAAAGGCACACGTAGTCTGACTGGTTTGGCATAGCTCAGAAGTTACTAAGGAAACAAACCAGAGGAGCAGCAATGCCCAGCAGCAAGTGTGTCAGCGCTGATGGTTTGATTCAAGTACTGTTGCAACTCTAATTAGCGGCAAGGCCATGCAGAATCCTTCCCCACCAAGCAACCCCTCTAAACCACTCAGTTGAAATGCATGCTGATTTTTATGTAAATTGTATCCAGAATTCCATCTCTCCCTTGCCCCTGCACAAAAGACTTTAAAGAGAAGTCTAGCTTTGAGACTATCAGTGAGTGACATGGAAAGATCCCTGGATGGGTGGAAATCATAACCCACACACGTGCCATCTTCTCCCAGGTCCAACCTTGCCTAGTATATATTTTGAAATCACAGTCTTGCCCCAGCAGGGAACATCTCGAACTGAAGTGTTCAGTCTACTTTTCTGTTTGTTTGGTTTTCTTGAGACCAAGTCCTTTAGGTATGTACTTGTTAACTTTATTCTTAAATTTCCAGTGCTTCTTCCATAGCTGGCTATATTTTAATAGACATATGTTTTAATTATATGTGTATAATAGGATGCATGTGAATTCGGTTTCATATTTATTAAACTACAATATTATTTTGTTCCAATAATATTATTTGCTGGAAAGAAGGGAGGCTTGCAACACACAGACACCTGCCACTTTCTGTGTAACAAGGCCAAAGTTTTCTTCCTCAGAAGGAAAATAGCGAGCTTGTGCTTAGTAAGATATGGCGCTGGGCAGCACTTTAGCAAATGTCTGCCTCTACGGCTCCCCTGTTTGTCTAGGAAGAACCTTCAAAGCAGCCCAAGAAATTCATCTAGCCCGTATGTCAGGGAAAACGATTCCACCGCTTGTCGAGTGGCCTTCGTAATTCGCAGTTAACAGACTATTTTCAAAAAGAAAGCAATATCCTCTTCTAGCTGAATTTTATCTGGAAGGAAGTCAGCATATAAACTACCCCCAAGCCCTCTACCTTGAGTTCGCCACAGCACGGTCGTGCTTCCTCTGGGGATGGACACCCCACTTTAAGGGATTGCCTTCTGACGGGTCGTGCTGGAGTTTTGTGGAACAAATGGGAGTTTTTCTTGGATGAGGTGTCCATTATGAAAATGCTCCTTATCCCAGCCTGTCAAAGTTGATTTTAAAAGGAAACAACAATTTAATTCCGACCCACATAATTTAAAACCATTTCCATTTCACAGTAGACTACAGTTCTATAGGTATAATTTAGAGTGTCGTTATCTCCTCTTAGCACAGTAAGTTGGCAACCTTTTTCAATTAACGAATCCTGCCATTGAGAGCCTGCAGCCAGCATTCCTTTTCAATCTCTTCGCTTTGAGCCTCATTATAGCAAAGAATAAATTTCCATGTTGCCTTTGGAATAAATAACGAGGCAGAATTTTTCTGACTTTGTGGGCTCGCCAGATTAAACTGGGCTCGAGCAGGAAGGGGAAGAGAAATCCAACCTCTTGAATATTGATTCATTAGAATTAAGGCTTCCAAGACTCGCTGAATAGCAGAAGCTGACACCATCCCAGACCTCTGAAGCACCTTAGCATTCCCGTGGCACCCGAGCAAGGATTACAATGAAGCAGAAAGGAAGAGGACCAATTTGTGTACCGCGTGGCTAATGAAGGACGAATGTGAACGGTACACGTCTATCGCCTAGGCTGAACTCAGATCAAAGTGCGGGCTTTAGTTTGCCTTAGAGGAAGGGAAACCCTCCCCAGGCTTAGTTCCCACCCGCCTCGCCTTCCTTCTCTTCCCCCTGACCAAACTCATAACAGTTTTGCAGTCTTGACCCTACTTCTCCCTGCTCACATTAATATTTACACATCCTGTGTTACACTTTGTTAGCCTTTCCACATGAGGCAGAGTTTGCCTGATAATCTAACGCATGCCACAGGAATCAAAAATTAAAACAGCATGGCTATCCCTATTGGCTACAAGACGCCCACTTGTAGACAAACAGGGGTCTTCTAACCCTTATTACACTGACTGCAGAAATAATATTTGGAGTAAAACTTCATGCATGTTGTAGAATTTAGGATTGTTCTACTTATGCATATATGATCTTAACCTTGTTAGCCGATTCTTTGGTTTATTAGAGTTTCATCATTTGGCTTCACAGGTAGCATTTCATATTAGAAAAAAAAAATCAAGGAATGATGGCACAACTCATCTTGAAATAAAAAGTAAGAGCAGATGGACCCAACAATTTAGAAATGGAGTAAATGTCTTTCTTCTTTATCATATGGGAAACAGACAGGGTTTAGAAGAGAGGGGTAGGGGCTTTTTTTTTTCTTTTAAATCCTATAAGACATAGAATAAATGACAGGGTGCTTTATCAAGGGATCACCTTTAAGGAAAGCAAGCAGAGAGTGAAATGGATTCACGGATGCTATTTCTTTGATACAACTGAACTGATCTTTATTAGGAAGTCTCATGAGGTCAGCATAAAAAGATTCTTTTCAATAGGAAGTCTACCGAGCACCTGATGGAGAGTATCTAGAAAGAGTCATTGCTTAAGATGAAAAACATCCAAATAGCCAAATGATCTAAATGGCCAACGAATTATGGTGATGTCTCACAATGAAGTCTTAGAAGACACTGGAAGGTAAGGCAAAGAAACAAATATAGAGATTGAACAAAGAAGGATTTATCTTTAAGTCAGTGCGGCAAACAGAATGATAAGAAATGAACTTACATGCAGAGCAATGAAGTTTCAGGGACTTCAGTGAAAGCGCATTATTGCTAGTGAATGGCATCACAGAGAGTTTTTAATGTTAAGTAAGTCTATGCATATATTCTAGTTTTTCTACAATAATCATGCATTTTACAAAAAATATATTACGACATTAGAAACCTAAAAATATCACTGCATAAAATCAGAAAGATTTTAAAACACAAATGGAATAATAGTAAATTTACAACTCAACATGTGATTCTTTCCAAAAATTCTATAATTAACGTTGGCCTTTTTTAGGGGTTATTGACATACTGCTTCCCATTACACACGATTTTAAGGCTGTTAACTAGAATATGCAATATATCACTTGAACTAAATCTTTCTTTAAAAGAGCAAATGGTTTGATTATAAGCTCTAGACAACAAACAATAAAACACACTGGAAATAATACTTTAAAAATTTGAGATATTTTAGCATGTTATCTTCTTGTATTTGGGAGTGTTGACACAATCATTCTTACTGTGACCTGGTGGTGGGGCCAAAGAGCAAATGTCCTGATCTAGGTCAATATTGTGACAGATCAAAGTGACATTCTTTAAAAATTGACACTACATAGTTTCGCTGAAGCAAAATTGCATCTTAGTGGCTAATACACAAATCAGCATTGACTGCAATATGTTCTAAGCAGGTTTCAGGCTGTGGGCACTGTGAGCTTTCAGGGCTTTGAAAGGATGGGGAGAAAAGTGCCATGACGTGAATGAGAAGACTTCTATGATCTAAGTCCTAGTCTCTTACTCTGCCTTTGTACAGCAGGGCAATATACATCTGATACAGCCTTCATCCACTTGAGTACATTTATCCGAAATATAAAAATAAAATGTAAACAGTCAGATGGCATAGTTTCATTCAATATCCTAGGTTAGGGCGTAACATATTCCAGATTCCAAAGCAAACAAGTCAAGCTGGTAGCTTATATAAAGCTGAATTCTCTGTTTCCATGGGTTGGTTTGAGAACCCAGTGTTTCTGAGTATGGATGTCTGAGATAGGTGAAATGGGTCACACACATACACACCAGCCCTATGCTCTGGACCGGTGACGTGCAGCCAACCTGCATGGCTGTCACAGAGAAGGTCAGAGAAGTAGCCACACCCAGCTCTCCCTTCTTAAACAGTTCTGCATTAGGTAGGTGCTCTGACTCTGAGACCCCTCTCCTCAAGAGGTCTTAAAAACTGACCTGTGGTCTTTGCTGAGGAGCAATGTGCCTGACATAGAATACAAATCTCCCGCCCCTAACAATGAATGACTTTCCTGTCAAATTCACATTTCATAAGCACTCCTTCTATTCAGGGTGATATATACATATACTGGAATCTTTAAAATAACCCCCAAACTTCAAAATCATCGTATCTACTTATAAAATGTCAGTGGCTGCCCAACCAATAAACATCAAAGCCCAAATTCCAAAGCAGACCTGAGTTTACCTGGCTTATCTAACGTGCTCCTTTCCTATGTCACCCAGCTAACAAGGAACCCATTGCCATTTACTGAAGTGTCCTGGATAAAGCCAAGTCTCACAGAAGTCAATGTCAAATTATCAATTTCTCTCCTAGGGGAGCAAGGTGCAATGCACACACAATCAATAACAAAGGTAAGTGAATAAATAAATGAAAATAAAAAGAACCCATTCTTACCTGGAGGTAGAGATCGAAGCTGGCCAGTTCTCAGATAGATCAGCAGAAGGCTGGATCCCCAGGCACCGCCTGAAAAAAAGGAAACTGAGGCAACAGGAATTCTGAGTATTTCTGCCAAGTCAAGGGAGTGGTGGGCACAGCAGAACAGATTAGAGAAAAGAAAAAATACAAGACCAAGGGTCTGGTCTCACACCCCGGGCAATCTTTCTTTTTCTCCTTTCCAGTTGGCCTCTTTTTTTCCTGGCAGTCTGGAGGGAATTGGGCACCCTGGCAAGGGCACTGCCCTGCGTCTCAGCTCCCAGGGTACAGAAAGAGCTGGAGCCTTTGAGCCATTTCTTTGCAATTTGCAGCAAGTTTAAGGCCACACGTGATAAAGCTTTGTTTATAGGAGAGAGAGGAAAAAAAGAAAAGACCACTTGTGATTTTTTTACTTGCTGATCCCAGAAAACACAACTCCACAGGGGGTAGGAGGGGTAAGGAAACAAGCCAGGGCAGGGGAAGGAAGTTTGTACAAAGATCCCCAGCCTTCTTCCAAGCAGGTTTTCCAGCCAGGCATTGAGGGTAGCAATGGGCCCGTCTTGTTGTGCTGCATTTGTTTGTTTGCTATCATTAAAAAAATATATTCTTGGGCTAATTCCTGGTGTGGCTTCCTCTCCCCGTGGGATTCTAGAATCTGCAGGAATACTTTCAGGTCAGGATCAAAGCTCTGCTGGCTCCTTCCAGGTGGAGTTTAGTCTCAAAGCGAAAAAACACAAAACAATAGCTTTCACCCACCCTGTGATTCTTGAAATATGACAAAATAGCTGGTGAATTTTTGGCATTTGGTAGCATAGGTTGCTTAACCCTGAGGAAAGAGAATGCCTTACACAATTCAAGTCCATTTTTTTCCCCAAGAGAATGATTTTAGAGGAGTTTGAGCAGTATTAGTTTACATTTCGTTTCGTTCGTAAGGTAAGGTTCAACTTGTTCTTCCAGGGCTGTGACTCTGAGCAGGCCACTTAATCTCAACATGTTCTGCTACGCAACTAAATATTTGGTCTTTAAATTGAGATTTCTAGGGACAATCCAAGGATTAAATTATGTTATGCCCATTACACATGAAAGCCCCATGGGAGCAATCCGTGCCTTTCTCACAGATGTAATTCCAGTTTCCATGATAAACCACCTTTTTAAATGGTACATATAGTAAGACACCATGTCAACAAAAACAAAAGAAAAGACAGCAAACAATAAAGAGGAAACAGTGGTGTTCGGATTCTTTTAAGACTAAGTACATTATTAGCGACTAAACTGGCCTTTGCCATCAGAAGTAGGGATCAAATATTTTTGTAAGTAGAGATCAAATGTTTTTCAGTATGTCTACAAGTGGCCATTAGCTATCAAGGGGGAATGGTGTATACCAAGCAAAAAGATATGGGATTTATTTATCTCTAGCAAAAAAGAAAAAAGAAAGTAATTCTCCTCTTTAAGTGTAATTTGGACTATTTCAACGTTTTTCAAATCCCTCTCTAACATGACTCCCTTTTTTTATTTTTTTTTACTTTTAAAGTATACTAACATGACTACAGAGAACATAGCTATCATTTACACGTTCCTTGGGGCTTCGGAGACACAGCTTTGTCTGGATCGTATTCTATCTTACACTCTGGTTCTCACCTTCAAATTCTAGAGCCCTACTCCTTAAACTGTGCATTGTGACCCCAAATGGCATTGCCTACCTC